GTCGATATCTTCTAGAACAGACCTAATAGCAGAATCTACTCACCTCAACTCTCCAGCGGCAGCCATTGTTGTGACGTGGTTGATTACGTTACTGTTGATCATCTGTCCATCATCGTATAAAGCCCGCCCTGACAATTTGATTGGCCCGCCAGATATTGTGCGATCATACTCGCGCTACTACTGAGCAATGCCAGACCAAACTTCCCGACCTCAAACGTTGTGGGCGGGACTAAGTTCTGAATGGCACCCAGGCTAAATATTCACCACTGTTCAGTGCCATTCCCCAATTTCCTCTGATCACAGAGCAGTTGGCTTGTTTCAAATCCTTCAAATCGGGCAAAAAGAAAGGATGCATTTGTAGGCCGAATCAAACCAGACCTCGGTGCCGCGCTATGATGGGTCTTTGAATCTGGCCTTCGGAAGACGCATCCCATAAATTTGAACGCAGTCACTGACTGGTTGCCACAGAAAAAAAAAACCTGAATACCTCCAGGAAGAAACTGGTTTGTAGCCTGATGTTTGAATCTATTTTAACTCAAAGCTCAGCCTGAAAGGCAAATATCTGATTGAAAGCCTTAAGCTTAATAAACTGACCTGGACTGGAAAGGGCTACAGGTTCATCCTCATTGGAGCTGAGGAGCCGCATGAGTTTAGATGGCTGAGTGTCGTCCAACGGGAAGAGACTGTTGTAATCCTGTGGTCCCGCCCCCCCAAAACACACATAAAAGAAAATAAACGGCTTGTTGTTAGTGATACAGAGGTAACAGGTCAGCTTTGGCTCAGAGTGAACGTAGAACCGAAAGGCAGCTTCACCTCGATATCTTCCCTCTGCCTTTTCCGCTGCCGGGCTGAAAACGCTCCTTTGTGGTGAGAGGAGTAGGAGCTGAGAGCACACCACACCGACAACCTGAGGGGTTCAGGAGTACGGAAAGCCGTTTCAGTCACAATTCATCACATAAAGATGTACTGTCATCAATAAGTTAAATATTCCGTCCAATAAATTAAATATAAAAAATGAAATACATGAGAAAATATTTGGATTTTAAGATTTTTTTTACGATTTATTTTTTAACTTTTAATATATATGTAACTTTTTATTTTTACAGTGGTGTTTTATTTTGCATCAGTTATCTTAAAAAGTATTTTTTAGTATTTTAAGAATACAGATTTAATTTTGGAGCTCTTTTTATTTCTGTCTAACTTGTTTTGCTCTATATTCAAAGAAAGGAGCAGAAGTTATTCTGAAGGAAATAAACAACCAAAATAAAAAAGACTAAATAAGCTAAAAAACATTTTTCATTATATATATTTTGTATTTTATTTATGTAATGGAATCTTTATGAGTAAATATTAAAAGAAACAGTATCTATTTAATTTTGAATGAAACGGCTCTCCATAGGATGACGGTGGTTTAACCTCAGATAAACAAACAAAATAAAAAAATGAATGGATTAATCTGCTAAAAAACCCACACAAACAAAAACATATCCACTCTTACTTGGCCAGGGCCTTTCCAGGAGGGTCTGCCAGGCTGTGCCAATGAGCGGAGTCGGTTAGAAGGTTGGGCAGGATGGTTCCCAGCAGAGTTAGCGTGATCTGCTGACTGTCCAGGCAGAAGATGCTGTAGAGTAACTCTACCACCCTACTGGCCCACTCCTGCCGGGTTTCCTTCAGCAGCTCCTACAAAGAGTAAGATTAATATCTGTGAGGAATTCAGAAAATAAAACAGACCAAGAAAACGTAGATCTGAAGATTTAACGGCAGAGAAAGCACAATTTTTAACGCATTTATGTTGGATTTCAGGTTAGAAACAACATATAAGCAGGTATAGAGTTATTCCACACTATAAATGATGGATAATAGAGGGTGGTATGCATTTCTATTAGGGATGCACGATATTGGGATATCGGCCAAAATCCCAATATCGTGCATCCCTAATTTTTATGTTCCCCATTTACTCTGGTACCTGCAAATAAAATTCACTTAATCAATTTAGATACTGAGCCCATGAACATTTGGAGCTGCTGTTTAATTCAATTGTTGCTTTAACACAAAAAGGAACGTCTGAACAGTTCAGAAATTAGAGAAAATATCAAAATAAATCTTTTCTCCAACAGGTCAGCATGGTTTGATCTTGAATCCTCAGTTTACAGATGAGACGAGAAAATGTCTCAAAGCAGATGTTGCTTTTATACTATACTTCAAACATCGTCTAATTAGGTAAAAAACTAATAAAAAGAGTGCAGAATTTTTTCAAATAAATTTGTTCCCAGATTTGTCAATCTGAAAAAATAATTTTGAAAAAATAAATAAAAAAAAATTTAATAAAAAACTTAAAATTGAACAAAAAATGAAAAGATAAATTCTAAGAAAACAGCAAAGTTACTTTAAAAACCTTTTTTTATTATGTAGTTTTTCTTAGTAGTATTTCGTTTTATGTAGGATTATTTCTGGATTGCATATTTTTTAATTTCCATTTACAAAACATTTTCCGTGCTGCGACGATAGGCAAGGCAAGGCAAGGCACATTTATTTGTATAGCACAATTCAGTACAAAGACAATGCAAAGTGCTTTACATGATTAAAATACAGGAAGATACAGGGACAAAATTTACTTTTAAACATCCCGACTGTCAGACACACACCAATCTCCTAGGTTGGATAGTGGAAGTTGACGCATCATTAGCTGAAGCAGTTTTTCCGAGCCTCTGTATGATGCTAAAAACGGTTTAATATCACAATAATGACCGTTTTATTGAGTTTACTTAAAACCTTTTTTCAACATGCAGGAAGAGAAGGAAGAGAGGGAAGGGGGCCTATGAAAAGATGATTATCTCCCCCTAGTGGTCTGGAGCATTTTCATTATGCTATGCTAGTTGGCAGCTTTTCTCCTTTGCATGCGTTTTGTGTCTTAGTCTCATTTCTGTTTTTGTGATTTTTTTCCTCTTTGATGCTCTCTTTCTTTTTTGTAGCTTTTTTTTTTAGTAGCACTTTTTCTGTCTCTCTCCTTGTTGCTCATCTAACCTAAGTTTACAGTATCGTTTGATTTTCCTGTGAAATCAGCAAACATTTCAGACCTATTCACACTGAAATTATGTGGCAAGACTGTCAGACATTCACCGTGAAATCTGAACCAGCTCAGGTACAGAG